ATGATCGTTGAAAGCCCAGATCGTAATCGTGATTAAAATTCGATTAATTGAGCAGCCCCATCGTCAGTTATATCGTTATCGCAAATTTTCTAATATATATCGTGATAAATATTTTTGGCCATATCGCCCTGCTCTAGTCATTATAAAAGTGACAGCTCATTCAATCCATGTTTTGACAGACAATATGAAAAGCCAATGACAATGCCTGAAGTGCTGCTATTGGCTGGAATTAAACTAAGCTGCAATGTCCTGGTTTTTCCCATGTTAAGAATGTGTATAATACGAATACTCTGAAGGAAATGCTCTTATTTGTATACATTTTTCAGTTTTTGTTGTCAAACAACTTCATGAACATGCAATAAAGATATGAAAAAGTGACAAACAATACCCATCAAGACCAATGCAAATACCCTCTATTTTCAAGCCATCTTTCAGTCCACTTCTCTTCAATGCTAGAGCCCTGACTTAATGATATGATTATGATGTCTGATTAAATCCCTGTGAAAATTTGTCAAAATCTTAGCTTTTCTCTGATTTCATCTATATTCACGTAAGTTTGAAGTTACATTAAACTAAAGCTTCTTGTTAGCAACAATTTGTTGTTGACACTCTTGAGATGTGTGCCAGTTCGGTACATTACTGTAGAGAGGTATTAATCCATTCCCATTTCTTTTTATTTTGCTTTCAAGGAGGTAAACCTTCTTTTAATTTTTAAACTAACTTTGAGCAGTACTTCTCCAGATAAATCGCTTAGCAAAGACCTAATTTAAATTGTATGCATCTTTAAACACTTTGTGACTAGCAGTCTCTCATCATTTGACCTATTCATTGATTCCCCACCTAAAAGGTCTTCTAATTACCCGTTCTGTACCACAGACAACCTATAATCACAAGCTCACCCACTGTACAAAGCACATTCCTACTTATATTCAGAACAGTGACTTGTTACCAAGAGACTGTAGCAACTGCGTGTAATAAACATAGAGGATACCGGCTGCTGTGACTCCCCAAACTACTTTGACAAATCAAGTGCGGCTAGACATCTGGATGCAGATTATATTTCTGCTATTATGAATTTTGTGTTAACTCAGCAATGCAACTGACATAAAAACTGCACTACACTCACACTATAAAACGCCTATATTTTGATAAAACTATACTCCCCAAAACAGCTGAACATACGCCATAGAGCGAAAATAATAAAAATACCGTAGGCACATAAACATTACGAGCCCGTAATAAAATCAATCTAAATATCCACTCTACCTACATTTCAGGCCTATGTAGTACAACTATACACATGCAATAAGATATCACATTTTAGCTGGGTGGCAATACTTAGTATTCACCCAGAATCACCTGGTTCATCTGGGCTTGACTATCTGTTCCGAACCAACAGACTGAGCAGTTTAAAAAAAATAAGAAGAATTTCCTTAAGTATGTGTAAAGGCAGTCATTTAACGCAATCGTTATTGGCTGTATTTAATTTCAGCTAACCAACCTTCGAAGGCAAAGTTAACGGTTAGCTTTAATTTCGGCTAAACACGAATCAAAACAGCAGCCTTTTTAATTCACGTCATTACCAGTTCGTTTACATCCTAAGGCCCAAACCTATCTACCACTAACGGTGCAGGCGTTAAAGACAACACACCGGTACAAGGAACGTCACTAGCTATTGTTAGCTAACCCCGTACTATCGAACTCAACCAGTTACCTTAATATATGTCACATATGAGGGTAATATTAACTGGCTGACAGGTTTGACAATAAAATCAAAATATGATCCCGAGGTACCTTAAAACACTAATGTGTCATGTTAACGTTAGCCTCCTCTTAGCTTAAAAAAACCACAGCCTGACAGCGCAGTGATAAGATGGCCAAGTATGCTCTTTGCTAGCCAGCTAACGTTAGCCGGCTATCTAAAGACTGCTGGCTAATCGTCTCTTCAGCACCAAGTGTATGAGCTTGCAGTTGTACCTACCAATAGACAAGGGTAAACACCGACTCTCCAGCATGTAGCTTATCTTAACATTAGCCTCGGACCTTAGCGATACAAAGACAGAGCTAAGATGAAATTTTGGCAAGGAAAATAAAGCGTTTAAAACTGTTTCTAACAGGCGCGAAAATGTAGATCTTCGGAGAGCACTTTTCAAGATGGCGGTTCCGTCAACTTCATCGACCCCTTCCCCCACTCCAGCTGCAATGCTTGTCAATCAAACGATTTCCGCAAAACTATTGGTTGTGAATCCTGTCGCTCAAACAAGGTCGTGAGCTTTTATTGGACAAGGTGCGTGTCTCGTCAAGACGTCATTTACACAGAGTATATGTATACTGTCCCGGAAGAACGGGGTTTATACCGTTTATCAAATTTTAAGCAAAACAGTTAGACTCATGTGGTAACACAACAAATTGAAGGTTTAATGTAGTGTAATTCATCTACTTGATAACTGTATTTTGGTAAACTACGGGTAACACAAAACCTTCACCCCGCACGCGCGTTTGCTTTGAATTTTAAATCGAGCACACTAAGTAGCGTACACGCACGCCCACGTCTCGTTCGAGAAACGCCCAGTTGATGGCGGTAGTGTAAAGAGCGCAGACCCTCGTTACCTAAAGCGAACGTGTTTATCTTTTAGGTATGTGTTAGTGTAATTTTATTTACATGGCGACAGTTAACAACAACAACAGTAACCTCAAAACGCTTTATGATGTCAGTTTAAATAGTATATGAGAGAATGGCATATGAGCAGCACTTGATAATGTGCTATTATTGTGTGTTATTAAATTGAATTATCAGTAAAAAGAAGATTCTGCTCAACTTTAAATTAACTGGACTGGCTACTGCCACATTAGTGAGGACTGTGGAAAAGCTCAGAGTCGGTTTGATATGAATTTTTTTTCTCACATGTTTGCACTGACTTGCTCACTATCGCTCAGGTTACCGATTGGAAAATCTTGCACACAAAGGCCGTTTGTCTTTTTAAAGGATAATCGAAACTTTTGGGCTTTCTAAAATGGCATCAGTGATACATCAATTCAAAATACAATGTATGTAGAATTCATTCTCAGTTGTTTTGTGGCTTCAAAAAGGTCTACATTATTAAAGCACTGCAAATTCTTCAATTTCACTGCTCATGTATAGAATAATAATAAATATCACTATTTTATTTTCACTTCTTTCTTTCTATTCTTTTTATTGAAACGCCACTATGGGGACATCCAACAGTGTCATTGATGGCTTACTTTATGTTGCAATTAATTGCAACAATTTTGAGCCAGCACATGAGCTTCGATATGATGAAAGAATAGTTACTGAACGATGTTTCAGTCTCACCGACCCGCATTTGTCTAACGTGTGCCGCACTTCACAGTTTCACTTCAAGCTGAAGGCTCTGCCTCCAATACTGCTTTTAGAAACTCTGATGAACACCACAAGCAGCCCGCAGTCTGAGAGAGGAGCGTTCTTTTACAGTCGTTAGACTTTGCATATATAGTGATGTCTAACGTTTCTTGTGGTCCACATCCTCACTTGTCTTTTCCATTTACAAAAAAATAATCACAAATTTTATTTCTCCCGTCTTTTCTTGGGACTCTAAACGCAGCACTTGGCTGGCACAAATCCCCGTTCGCTAATCGCTTCTCATCAGATCGTCGGGATTCAGACGTCATGCTTTCATCCGTCAGAGGTAACGGAGCATAACGTGAATCCGCAGTCCGGGGAACAAACATACAGACATCCTCATCATCATCAGCAGCAGCAGCAGCAGCAGCTAGCTCAGTGATGATGAACATGGATTTAAGTGCCGTTATAGAGGAGATGGAGACAGGCGACCAAGACTCGGCTCTGACGGCTTTACAGAGCTACAACAAGCAGGTAAACACCAGCCCTCCAACATCGGGAGGAATCAGTGCGTTGTAGAACAGCTGTTTGAGTTTATGAAACGCTTTCCATTCAGAAGATGATCCTGAAATAATTGCCAAATCAGAACTGCCTTCAAAAGTAGAACCTTTACTATATTAAATGGGGTTTAAAGCTGCATTGTACATCTTAATAGCCTATACGATATTGTGTATTGAGCCACCCCTTCTTCTTCTTCATGTTTTGCTTTCACGGAGCCAGATTTCCTCGTAATTTTAAAGGGATATTAAGCAACAGTTCTCAAGGCTTTCTCTGGGTCTTTCAAAGTTCTTCTTTGGAATTCGCTGCTTTTCACTCATTTTCAGCCCAGTCCTTGTACCTGACAGATTTTTGACATGACAGCAATGTGTTTTTGACGGTTAAGCAACTGAGCACTGACCCATGAGTCATTCAAGCTTAAAAAAACATCTAACTTACGGGATGAACCAGTACTGTGTCTGGAATAAACGAGAACTTAAAGATCCAAATATAAATTGTATCACTGGGAACTTTGTTACAAATAGCCTGTTGTAAAAACACATTCCCGTTTCTTTAGCTGATTCTATAAACATGACACATACCTGAGAGATGCATCTGACCCTTGATCCATCTACTGTTTACCAAAGAAATGGTCTCAGTGGAAGGGTGGCTGTCAACAACGCATTCTTACACCAAACTACACAAAAACTGGACTGAAAATAAGTAGCAACAGGTCTTATTGAGTGATGAATCCAACGTAGATATCTTTGGTTTAAAACATTGCCAGTGTGTATAGAGGATGTCAGGAGAGAGCTGCAACAAAGGTACAGTGAGTGTCTATGGTAAAATATGGAGGAGGCATGTTATGGTTTCGGGCTGATTTTAGCCAGTGGTGCTGGGGATCTTGTCAAAATTCATTTATGAATTCATTTATGAATGCAATAAAATGAGTGCCATCAGATTTGGATCCACAGTGCAACAGCATCTGGAAAGTGTGTGATAGTGGCTTAATTTTTCACTTTTTTAATGATAAAGTGAATATGCTGACAATGCAGTAAAGGCATACCTGGATATAAGACACACTGAAATGCCGTCACAAATTCCACTGGATGTGAATTGGCCTCCCCAGAGCCTGGACCTCAACATTATTCAAGTATTGTGGGATCTGCTGTTGGTGCTGGGAAATTGGTAGAACCACCCATATCATAAATTACCTAAATTACTTAATAAATAATAAATGAATATTAGATAGGATAAAACATGGTTTATTTTTCCCAAAGTTGAGACATTCATTGCACCAAAATAATAATTTCAATAATAATAATGATGTGGCATAAGTTGACAGTAAGTGTAATCTATTTAGCTGCCTATTAATTCCCTCGTAACCCTTTGAACTTCTGTGGTAGTTTAGTCCCAAGTTTTATTATGTGATCACCAACATGCAAAGAGTCGAGCCTGACACAGTTTGAATTGCAGGCAAGTCAGTTTCATAATGTGGTAGAAAATCAGAAAGAAATGTAAAAAGAAAAGAGAGAAATATTTGTTGAAAATAATTATTTTTAATTAATGTGAGCCACTGATCGTAAAAATAGAAATGGGAAATGCAAGTTAGTTTTGTCACAAATATCTACATCCATTGCATCCATTTTCTGCCACTAATCCAGGTTTGTGTCACTAGGCCAGCAGTCTAAGAAAAAAAGCCCAGACGTCCCTCTCCTCAGCCAGCCACAGTTTTCCAGGGGGACACCAAAGCCTTCCTTAGCCAGTCAAGGCATATAATCTCTCCAGAATTTCCAGGGTGTTTGTTCTGAGATTAAATCCTAATTTCTTGCAGAATCTGACATGTACATATGTCGTAACTCAAGCCATCTAGAGAGGTTTCTCTGTGCTCTTTCAGTTTTTCTAACATGTGTGATTTCCTTGTAACTCTGATACACCTTGGAAAGGAGTCAGTGTCAGGACACTGAAGAGTAATGGGAAAGAGCACTGTGGGAGTTTTGAAATTAATGTAATTAATGGATTCATCGCTTAGATACAGAGAAAAAAAGAGGACAGAGAAGCAGAAGCGGTTACTCGAAGATAATGAGATCATGTTTAAGATCAGTGCTGAGGTACATCCAGTAAAATGTCAAAGATTTCAGCTGCAATGTTTAGGGATATTACAGATATTTTATTTCCATTTTAAATTCAAGCTTATCATAACACATTATACTACTTCCCTTAAACCATAAGCTTACTCTAAGACTGATGATATTAATTCATATTTTATCTATAACTCTCAGGATTATCATTACTTTTTAGATTAGTTATTTTAGGTAACTACTTTGTACTCTACGTACATTTTTAAGTTAGAGCTCTGGAGCTGATTTAAATGGCTAAATTACCTGATCAACATGTCTTGAAGTTCTTTAGAGGCCTGGTAATGAACTAATCATTTGATTCAGGTGTGTTGACCCAGGGTGATATCTAAAACCTGCAGGACTGGCTCTTGAGGCCTGGAGTTCCCTACCACTGTTCTAAGATATAGTGTTTTGTTAGCCTCTAATTGTATGGAAGCACAAAAAGAGTACAAGCTAAAGGACCTAAAGTACATACAGTACCAGAGTCTTTGAAATCTTTTGCTTCCTACCTCTGCAAAACTTGCTCTGTACTGTGCAGCTCTCTTTAAATTTCTTTATGATACTTGTCAGTCCAGTTCTTTATCCTTGGAAATACTGTAATAACTTTGTATATCTATCTCCTGCTGTTTCAGTGTCAACAAGTATACACTAATTTCTTTTGTTTTTGGCACAATGGTTGTGAACGTTCAAACCCTAGCTGAAGTTTTTAGATAACCCTCAGTTTTAACTTGATTCTATTAATTTTGAGCATTACAAAGTCAAAGCACATCATGTATATGTGTGTGTGTGTGTATATATATGCAGACTACAGTGGCTTCCAGCTTGATGTCAGCTCTCCTGAGCCAGCTGAAGCTAACCACACTGTCACAAACACAAGAGTATCAGTGTTACCATGTAACTGAGCTTGGTGTCTATCCAGGTCAGTTAATGTTAGAAATGTTAGTTGAAACTACATGTTATATGTATATGAAGTCACATGAGTTTTGTTACATTCTGCAAACCCCAGGTGCACCATGCTTCATGGCTTCCTCAGCACGGAGACTGTGTAGGAGTTAATCTCAAAGGCAATAGGATTAGATTTTCTTATACACAAATAGATTTAGCTACAGGCCAGTTAAATCCTACTTCACCAAAGAGCTCGTACAGATCAGAAGCTTAGTGGTTGTTACAGGACACTGCCATATTCTGAGCTGTAGACTGGAGTTAGTCTGCTCTAGTTTATCCAGCCTTCTGGGAGTTGTGGGAATTTGCATTAACATAAATATTAGTAGGGGCACATTAATGAAATAATGGGTATAACTTATGTTTATTTTCCTTAATTCAGAACTCGGTATTTGAATTAAGTGAATGATGTGGATTAATTTTTAGTAAATGGTCAGACTACTTCAGCATGTGTGATGGACATGTTTCTTTTGATGTCAGCATCAAAAGACAGCTACAGTGAGGCTCAGCTTATCTGGTACTGAGGCTATTTGTATATAAACTAACAACATCTGAAAGGAAGTTGCTCACGTTCTCATTTGTAATCTGTGATAATTGTGTAAATCCAGACAACAAGTCAGTAGAAAGGACCTTTGTAACTTTGTAACTGAAGACGCTTCTTTGATGAGAGGTGTCTTTACCAACTGAAGTCGATCTGCCTATTTTTTTCAAGCATTTAAGACTACCATGACCTGAATGACTGAGGAGCTACACAGAGATATGACACACTGGAGAGATGTCTTTTGGAAGGCTTACGCATGCATTAATGTTCTGCATGCATTGATGGATGGATGATAGCATGCTCTTTTTGTAATTTGAAGCCTATCTTCAATTAAAATATCTAAGAAAAAATATGATTACTAACATTAGAAAACTGTCATACAGAAAACGGTGTTCATTAAGATTCAGATAATGAAACGACCCAGAGGTTCAGTCAGAGTTCCTTTATAATACACCGGGGACTGGCTTTCTCAGGTGTGCTGAAATTGGGTCAGCTCCACCTACTAGATACCTGAAAGCAACAAGAAAACAAGGCCAGCACACTGGCTGTCACATATTTCAAATGATGTGATGTGGATCATTTTTACATTTTTACTTCTTTATTTTTTCTCTCTACTTTGTATCATGATTATTCGGTTCATTTCTGTTGATATATTGCCAGTTCAAAACAAAAGTTAACTCAAGTCACTTTACATTGCAAGATCAAGATTAAACAATATTAGAAGACCCTAAGACATATCTTCTTAGTTGTAGCTGAGCGATGTACATAGGAGAATGGATGGCTCGATTACTGCAAACACAACGACTTATTGGTACAAATAACATAACACAAACTTGTCTGCTTCTTCTATCCACTGACTCCCTTTTTTGTGCTTTGTACTTCTCTTTTCTTCAGATGAACCAGTGCTTTACATTCAACAGGGATGAGCAGAAGGACAGAGAGGTATTTATAACATTTCCTATTTATACACATAGGGCAAATAATTAATTGATCCCCTGCTGAACTGATAAGTTCAGCAGGGGATCATCTGGATCGAAATACTTCAGCTTGTCCTTTCCAGTCTGTTTACATTTTTTTAATGTTCTGTGTAATTCAGTTTCATCTGAAAAAAAAATTGGCTAAGGATTAATCATTTCTTTGGATGTACCAACATGCTTTATGCTTTCCTTTGTATACTCGCCTGTTTTAGGAAGGAAAGTTACAAAAGGTATGAATAACCATTGAACACCATGTTGTGCTCTTCCATTAGAAACCTAGAACCCACAATTTATCTTCAACTTGTGACTCTTTCTGGATGGGGTCCTGTTAAGAATTCATTATAGGATATAAATAATTCACGAGATGAAAATGACAGTGGGAGTGATTTACTTCTCGGGGATTATCAAATGCTTGTAAGGATCTGTGTGTTTAACCAGAGGAAAAGTAATGATCTGCTCTTAAATGGCAGTGATTGGCCAGCTGTGAATAGATTACATCCCATAATTGTGAAGTTGATAGGGTCGCTCTTGTTATGTCAGTTGAAGGTTCATAAACACTGGCCTAACAAAATGCTGTCAGATTTGGACAGTATTCACTGCTCTTTGATTTCTCAAGGTAACTGTGACTGAAGTCATTGTGTTTCATCTATGATCTGTACACACTGTTTGCTGGTGTCGGGGAGGCTGAGGGAGTTGCAGCTTGTTTCAGTGTTCAAAAGACAGGGAGAGCTGGAGATTCAGTCAAAGTGGCTTTATAATGCAAGGGGACTGGCCTTCTCAGGTGTGCTGCATCTATAATTGGGTCAGCTCCACCTACCAGATACCGGAAAGAGACAGGCAACAAGAAACCAAAAAAACAAGGCGAGCTCACTGGCTGTCACAGGTACATTACTGAAGGGGCACACACTTTGTGTCCAAACCAGTATGTACATTGTAATAAAGATTTCCAGAATTATTTGCCAGACAAGATAAGCTAAAATGCTAAATGTGATTTTCTATAGACTGTTTGCCAAAGTTACAAAGAAACATATTCTTGTTTGTTTGCTGCTGTTCACAATCAAAACATCAGTGCTTCCACCGTACTGTTTCAGGAGAGCCAGACCTCATAATATGTACATGTATATACACAGGTATATACACAATTTTAATAAAACTTTTAATTTGAAATGTGGTTTAGTTTATTACAAGTTCTTCAGCTGTTCCTCAGCTGGATCCATGATACCATATACCAATATATAAGGTAAGCAACTTGTTGTAAAACACTTAAAAATGAGTAACATGTCAAAGAAAACCCAACAAACCACCCAAACCCTGATGGTATTACTCCATCATTTAAGCCAGTTTACCTTCCTGTCAAATGAGAGCTGCAGACTAGTCACAGACTGTTAGTGTTTTTTTCCATCTCTGACTCAACTACTTAACACAATAACACCTACAGCACATACAGAAATAAATACAAACAGAATCCAAGTGGAAGGCTCACAGTCTGTTATTTTAGCATAGCAGTCATTTTTAATTTAAGGTACAAACATGCCGGATTCATTTTTCAACCCTGAAGGCTGCTGTTTCCTCAGCTCACACACGTCTGGTGAAAATTTGTTGGAAATTTCTTACACGTACTGAACTATTTATAACAGAATTCTTGGGAATGGGGATTTTTATCTGTCTGCCAAATAAATCTGTCTGCCAATTAATATTAAGATTATTGGCACTAGTGCTCGACAGGGGATGAATCACACGGCCTTTTCCCTGCAGTAAGCTCAGGATAAACAGAATAGGAAATGGAAAACCAGCTCTTATAGGTTGATTCTGTTGTAAAATGAATAGTTAAATGTTTACCTGTTCTAACATTTCCTTAGCGTTATATTAGAATACTCGAGTAAGTGATGTATTATATAATGTTGGAGTAAATCCAGGATAAACTGTGGGTTTTTGTCAGTAGATGTAAACACACTTAATCAGTTCAAAGGTTTAAAGAAAACTATAAATAGGTGTGAGATCACAATGGCAATAGTTTAATGGAATCCAATGGGAATTATGAAATGATGAAGACCTTTGATTTATTCATTTGCTTGAACACTAATCATGCTGGCATATTAGTTTTGATTGTAAGAAGATATTCTGATGATACATAACACAAGAACAAAAACTAATGAGAAAGAAGCAGTTCTGAAGATTAGAAAAAAGAAATCTGGTTTATCATTAAGTATATTGCTGCAAATTCATTCATGGCCTAAACCTCATACAGTTTATTCAGTATTGATGAAAGTCAATCTTTGAACTGATTAAGGTGAATAGCTGAGAAGATAGAACATTAGAACATTTATTGATTAGTTTTATTGTGATTTTGTATCTAATACACCTGCAATTCATTCAGAAAACAGTAAATATCTAAAAATGTACTTAAACAAACCAATATTTCTGCATTTAGCAGCTTTATCCTTTAAAAAAGCATCTGAAAATGTTTTTAAACAGTATGATTTAGATTCTGTTTGAGAAAATGTATCTGGTTTTGGAAACCACACTGTTTTCCAAAGTGTTTTCCTCTCTGATAAATAGAAGAACAGCTTTATTCCTATAAAAGGAAGCATTTCATCCAGTAGGAAACAGACCCAAACAGAAACTGTAGTTGATTGTTAAGGTGGAAAAGAAAGGTGAGTTTGTTCAGTGCTAAAGGTTTAGGTTTATTTAAGGTGAAGCTAAAGTTCTATTGCATGGCTTCTTTATCCAATAATCATGTGCCCACACTAAGCATACACCTACTTGAAGGTCTGCTAAGCTGTCCTGCTTGTAGATGTGCATGACAGCTTAGGAAACTTTTTAGCAACCTTTGTAGCTCCTTGCATTCGGTCACTACAGTGTGGGGCTTTTTATCAAGGAAACCCCTTGACATTGGACCGTTATCATTAGCACTACAAATACTTTGTCACTATCAGTAAGACTGCTGTTTAGTATGTAGTGTTTTTCATGTTTCAGTTTTCAATGTACAGTTTCATCTGTTGTGTTACCCATCCTCAGTAAGAAACAGCAATCATTTGTTCACCACTGGCTGTAGGTCGAACTCACTGATCTGTTATTTTCTGTAACACATTTCACTTTGTTGGCAGTCTTAAGACGGTCATGATTTCATTACAATTAGTCAGAAAATGATCTTAAAAACAGAAGCGGTATACTGCAAATGGATCAAAAATCAGTTCTAACATTGCCTGACTTAAAATGTGTGATGGACATTCATTCAGACTGAGGTCAGAAGCTGCAGATATAGCTGTCAGATTTGGTGTTTCATTTTTCAACAGTTTAAAATGTAAATCTGCCTATTTAAATAAATGTATGTGTCTATTTGCACAAAAAAGGAAGGTGTACTCTGTTGATGAACATCAATAGCCTACAGTCTAACACAATTTCTGTTCTGTTTCTACTGTTCCTCCATGAATA